ATTCCTCTTCCCGAACTGAGCGGCGAGCCATGCCATGGGATCGGCCCGGAGGCTAGTGCTGCGCTGCACGTAAAGTACTCCTCCAATGAGTGCAGTGGTAGCTGTGAACGGAAAAAGTCTATTTTAAACCCTGAATTTATAGTGGTTCGACGAAATGAACCCTCAAGTCGAAATCCCGGTCGATTGCACCCTGAACTATGGAATCCCGGTCTAAATCGAACCTTTGGGTCGTTTGGATGGCCGGGATTGGGGTATTTCGCAAACGGCGCACACCTGCTCCCTGCTGGGCCGGCCCGCTTTATTTTTTTGTTAAAAAAATACACCAGCCCGCTTTATCTTTTCGTTAAAAATCAAAAATAAGTGCACGGTGAGGCTCCAACGCGAGACCCGTGCTCTACGTATGATCGATGCAACAACCACTAGGGACACGACACATGTTGTATCACTAAACTAGATGACCAGTAAACTAACGTTCCCTTCATATAATTTCTGTATACATCGGAAAAAAATTATACACATGTCTATTTTCTTCACACACATTTCTCATTTTTCTGTATATATCCGAAATATTTTTATACATGTTCAAAATTTTCCAAATATAGGATTAATAATTTTATAAATATCTATTTTTTATAAACATTCACCGCCTTTGGTATTTAACTTATGGTTAACATTCTTTTTTCAAATATATGTATTTGAAACTTTTTGCAAAAACGTGTCAACCATTTTTGGGATGGTATGAAACATTGTTTAAAACTACGTGACATTTTGTACATTGTATACGTTTTTTAAAATGTCATGAACATTATTTTAAAATGCGTGAACATTTTTGAAATGCAACATACATTTTTAAATTACATATATATTTGTAACGCTAGAATATTTTTAAAAGTCACAAACACCAAAATATAAGTGTAACCGAAAAAAGCCAAATGGGCCGTCCCAGCGCAGAGGACGGGGGCGCTCTATGGTCAATACTGCCGCTCTCCGGCCCAGTAGTCAGATGGATCCCGGTTGAATTTTGCCGGGGTTCGATTTAGACCAGGATTGCATAGTTCAGGGTGCAATCGATCGGAATTTTGATTTCGGGGTTCATTTCGCCGAACCACTACAAATTTAGGGTTTAAAATGGACTTTTTCCGCTGTGAACTGATGGTGCTGCGCTGCACGTAAAGGACTGGGCCTGCAAAGCGTTTTACTAAACTGCTATGCAGACGACACTTCACCGCACGAACTTTGGACGACGGAGGAATTAACGGTGATATCCAGTGTTTGGTCTATGCATTTTGGTCTATGCATGGACGGCTTGATGTACTGTATCGTCTGAAAATCGTTCAGATTTGTCGTGTGTGTAGCAGCGTCTTTCAAACCTGATCCTGTAATGAGCGCAGTGGTAGCTGTGAACTGATGGTGCTTGTCTCGTTCCCATGACAGCATCACACGGCCTGTGAAAATCGGCCCGGGCGAGGCGATGCACACACGCTATTTGGTGCGGTTCGTGGAGAAGAATCACCAAGCCAAACTACGTCCAAATGCCATGGGTTTTTTCACAGCCCTTGGCTGCCGCCACGCGAAAAATGCTTTGTCGGCCGCGCCGCTTCCCCCTCCGGCGGTCCGTTTTGTCGGAGGAGCGGCACCGCGTGGGGGTCTTCGTCTTTGGCGGTGGCCGATGGCACAAAGGGGTGGTTGGAGGTGGTGTCGCATAACTGCTGCATGGTGGTGATTCATATGGCCAATGGGGTGTCATAGGTGGTTTCAGGATTTATCGTCTCTCTGGATTGTGCGTGCAACCGCCATACTAAAATATGGGGGGCGCCAATTTCTTGACAAAGGATCTCGCGGCCACACGAATCTCCCACCCCGAACGCAAAATTGGGAGGGTCAACAAAAAATTGGCTCGGATTCAAAATTTTGGGGTTATCCAAATGCATGCCCCGCCTATCGGTAAAGCCAATAATTTGGTAAGGTAACTTCCAGCTGCCATTAGTCTCGTTGACTTGTTTTCTATTTTAATAAATTTATGATTGTGTTCATTGAAGAAAGCAAAGGCCAAGGGTTTCTTCCCGGACCCGGCCTTTCTCGTACCGTCATGCTCCCAATGCGGCTGGCTGCAGGGGCCAATCTCTAAGATACCGGCGGGCCCAATTGTCAAAGTGTGCCATGCTCTTATTCTTGGAGGAGCGGCACCGGGCTTAGTCTGTCGTCTGGGGCGGTAACTATGACATGGTGGAGATCCCTATGGTCTGATGGGGCGTCGTAGGTGATGTGGGCATTTACGGGCCCTTCTGAATTGTGTGTGCGCCCGTCATACCAAAACATGGGCGAATTCACAAACAACGGATGTTGTGGCCACGTGAATCACACTCGTTGGGCACAAAATCAGCATGGGCAACTGAAAAAACAAGCGTTTTGACTCTCCGCTAGCTGGCATACTCTTCTGCTATGAATGGAACAAAAAAAATCAATGGTTCAGATCTAATTTTTTTTATAGAAGAAACCTACTGCAAGCTCACGAAAATTCGCTTTCGACGGGAGTCGAACCCCGATTTGCAAGGAAACACCACCGTGTCCTTGCCACTGGGCTACATCCGTAATTTTTATGGGAGTTATCCAAACGCGTGACATGCCTATCAGTCACCTCCAATATTTTGGCAGGGTAACTCTGGGCTACCATTGAGTTTGTAAGTATATTATTTTGGTGTGGGTAACTCTCGGCCTCGGTTGTCGCCGCCGTCCGTCGAAGTCGTAGCTTGCTAGAGAGGTTGTTCCCGCAGGAGGTGTGACGACGAGAAGAGCCTTCTCTCAGTCGGGAGACGAGCCATCTGCTGATCTCGCACACTCCGTCCATGAATGCGTTCAAGTTGCGTACCGCCTCTACATGGTGTTGGCCATGACAGTTGGAGATGGCGAGGAGACCATGACACTGACAGCTCTTCCGACGTCCATGGAGCAGCGTTGCGGCGCGGTGCCGTTGGAGCTTGTCATCGAGGTCGCGTGCCCCTCGCATGAACTGTGGCTGCCTTCTCGATGAAGGAGAAGTGCACTGAGGTGCTCCATTCGTCGATGAAGCTAAAGTGTTGCCGCCGCCGGATCCAGTTTTCATGCTGGAGCAGATTGATTCGTACGGAGTCGGGGGCTCTATAGTACAAGGGCAAGCTCAGATTCGAAGGCCTCCCAAACAAGTCCTGGACTACGAAGTCGATGAAAGTTGATCTGATGGACCTTGGTGACAACTTGATCGAGGTCCTGGCGCCGACAAACCGCCGCCAGCTCGAGGTAATGGCTTGGCTACGTGACCCGTTCTATGTTGGCAAGCTGGTGACAGTTGAGATACCTGAGCCCAAGCTGTTTAACAAGCCACTAGAGTCGATGGAAGAGTATGAAGCAACAAAGTTTGACTTGGGTGACTACAGGCCATTGTCGCCGAGGAAGAAGAAGACACTATTGTATCCAATTATGTGACATATGAAGGAGGTGGTTGATTGCGGTCCTCTGCTCGCCGAGGACTTGCCGGATGAGTGGCTACCAGGAGAAGATGACATATAGTCAGTTCTTTTGGCGGCTTAAAAATAAGCCGCCTCCTCCCCAACTTTTCTCGTAAGCCGTCTTCCTCATTCATTGAGCCTTCTGAACTAGTTATGAGATAACTAATTTAGAAGTCTCAACAAATTTAGGGAGCGGCTTATTAAGCTAGGAGAGGCAGCTTATTTTTTAAGCCACCCAAAAAAACTGACCCATAGTCTTGTGCTATCAATAAGAGAAAAAGATAAATAAAAAATCAGTGACTCAGATCTAAAATTTTGGTAGTTATCCAAATGCATGCCATGCTTATCAGTCAATAACGGTAGTTTGGTAGGGTAACTCTGGGCCGCCATCCAATTTGTAAGTAGATGTTTACACTTATAGTGTCGATGACTTGCTTTCATTTTAATATAGACAGATTACTTTGTTAGAAAATGGTATTTTTTTTCTAACAAAGCACATTTATTTTAAAAAAAGAATTATGGTCATGTGTATTAGAAGTCACTATTTCTTTTGTGGGGGGAGGGGCAAACTCCATCCCTCAAAGCTCAACACTTTATTATTAGCAGTCTAAGCCGTGTACAGAGATAAGTTTGGCCCTTAGGAAGGAGATGGCTTCAAAAGCCCTTTTGGAACTACATCTGGAACCTTTGCTGCAAAGAAAAGCACAGCTAGGGAAGATGTACTGGAGAAGGATTTCTTAGCAAGATTATGAGCCATAGAGCTTTTAATCATTGGAATGTGCTCAATCCTGTAAACATGAGGACTGAAGACAAGATCGAAGAAATCAGCAAAGTAGGATGCCGAATCAAATCCTTGGCCTCCGGAACTCTTACCAAAGTCCTGCAATCAGAGAAAATTTCGAAACAGTGTTCGAGTTCAAAGCATTGAGGACTGCAGCCGCTAGAAGAAGTCCCATTGCTTCTGCCTGCAAAACTGAACAAACTATCATAGCAGACGCTTGAACAAATATGGAATGGTTGCTTGATTCATTCCTTAGGAAGACTCTGAGAGAAGCTTCATCAGGAATAACTGCAGGGTTATATGCTGCATCAAACATGTTGAATATTCAAATTTATACATAGAGAAGAGTTAGGAGATTTTTTTGACAGAAGGCCTCCTTTCTTCCTCATTATCCTCCCGTAAACCTGCATTAAGCGTCGCTTTGGTGTCATGGATAACATTTCTTGACATGAGATAGATAGATTGCAACAGATGCAAATGAAATGCTTGCAAGTTGGAATGATACAACACCGCAAGAAGATGCATTTCACCACAGGATTAGCACAAAGCATAATATCCTACAACGACATTTAAGTACCCTACGAAGACATTAAAGTTGACTACTAGGCAGGATAAGACTACCATCAAAGATGAACTGCATCTGCTAATAAACATCACCCAAATAGAGTACTTAGTTTAAGCTGGAACTCCGAAATAAGCAACCACGAACTGCCTTGAGTGAGTGCTGGAGCTAATCAAACCAATGCGTCGGACCAAGGAGAGAGCTTGTCGATGCGGATGTGCAGGGGAACTTCCATGGACGCAGCCCCGTCCCCTGCTGCTGCTGCTGGCACCAGGTACATTGGCGGCACCATCAGGAACGTCGGCTCGCCCGCGGCGACCACCGCGCCGGGCGACGAGCTGCTGCTCATGTGCATGTCCACCAGCACCATGTCCTCCTTGCCGCCGTTCGCCGCCGCTGCCTCCAGGTTGACCCACATCTTGCACGCGAACCGGGGCCGCGTCGCCGCGCTCGCCCTGGCGCACACCACGGACACGGCGGTCACGCCGGCGCCGAGCGCGCCCACGGTGAGGAGGAACACGCGGTTGTCGTCGTCGCCGAGGAGCACCAGCCGCGGCGCCGACACCGGCACGCGGAGCTGGCTGGCCTTGCCGTACTGCACGGCGCGCACCGGCACCGAGTGGACGGTGTGGAGGTGGCCGGCGAGCGCCTGCGGCGCGCCGACGTAGCCGCAGCCGGGCTCCGTGCAGCGGCAGGGCGCGTGCGCGCACGCGGTCTGGTGCTCGGCGACCTCGTGGTAGGTGACGTACCTCGGGCAGCCGGCGTTGGGGCACTCGATCCTGGTGGAGGACACGACGGCGTCCAGCGCGGGGCAGGGGTCGAAGAAGCCGGCGCCGTCCACGCACGCCTTGCACTGGCCGCAGGGCAGCTGGGCGACGCAGCCGCCGCAGGCCAGGTGCCCCGCCTTGCACTGCAGCAGCAGGAACACAAATCGGAGTCCGCCGGTAAATCAGCACATCTTCTTGAGGAAGGAAAGGATGGATGTTTCACCGGCCGGCACGGCACCGAGGCCGAGTGTGGAAGAAAAAAGGGAAGAACCTGGAAGACGGGGGGCTTGAAGGGGAGGGTGCAGAGGGGGCAGTGGAGCAGGCGCTTGTCGATCCTCACGGCGAGCTCCTCTCTCGGGCTGTACGGCGCCGCCGCCGCGACGATGCCCCCTGGGTCTCCTCCTTCGGCCGCATCTGGAGCGACGAGCTCTTGCTTCACGGAGTGGGCGTCGGGCAGGTCCAGGCGCGGCTTCTTGGCGCTCTCCTCGTCGGCCTTGTCCGGCGAAGCCCTGCTCCTCCCCTCGGCGGCGGCGGCGGCGCCCTGCATCCTGGCTGGCCGGACTTTGGGGAAAGAAAACTTTTTTCTAGCAGGAGTTGTGAGAGAGAGAGAGAGAGGAGAAGAGCAGAGGTCCAAGAAGAAAAGGAGCCGAGGCAGCTACTGTTCCAAGTACTACTGCAGTATAAATGCTTCTGTCCTCATTATCAGCACTTGCCACTGTTCCACACAATCCCCCTGCATTAACGTAGTAGTACTATCTCTTCATGATAAACGAGCCAAAATGATTTGATATATGCACATTACTGTCATAATGCCCCAACCAGCTGCATGTATGTTATATCATTGTTTAGCGTAAAAAAAGGAAACGTTTGGGCGCGGTGCGCCGGCCGAAACGTTGCGCCGGTTCGCACGCCACGCTGGCAAACGCGCCCGTGCAGTGGCCCCGCCTCCTTCCCTATGCGCCTCCATCCCCTACCTCCAGCCTAGTGCGCGCATCCTTCCCCTCCCCCGGGCTGCGACTAGGCCACAACAGACTCCATCGCCGGCGGCCAGGTGCTCCCTCGCCGGCCGCCATGGCTGCCTGCTGCCATGGCTAGATCCATCCCCTACCTACAGCCTTCAAGCGCGCGCATCCCACCCCCTCCTCCTCCCGGGTAGCGACTGGGCCACCACAAGCTCTGTCGTCGGCGGCCAGGCGCTCCCTCGCCGCCCGCCATGGCTGCCTGCCCGCTATGCCCGGATCCATCCACGTATAGAAGTGTTGCAACCGTCACCTAGAAAAGCTTCAACAGCCATTGAAAAAAGCTTCAACCATAGACATAGAAAAGCTTCAATGGCACTGCACAAAAAGGGGGGAAGTTGCAGCCGTAGTTGATTTTTGCTACTACCGGCGAAGCTTTTTGCTACATCCATCAGGCGGAGCTCGGACCTCGCGACGACGACAACGATGTTTTGCTGCACCCGTAGCAGGATTTTGCTACAACTAGCATCGTTTTTTGCTACAACCGGCATAATGTTTTGTTACATCCATCATGGCCGAGCTACGACCCGCGACGACGACGACGACTTTTTGTTACAACTGTTATATGTATTTGCTACGTCCGGCAACGGGTTTTGTTACATCCGTTCATTTTTTTAGAATGCAAATGTTTGCTACCTGCAACGGCGAGCTACAACCAGCGACAATGGCGACCTTTCTTTTTTGTTGCAACCATGTCTCCATTTTGCTACGACCAACAACGAAAAATGCTACAACGGCCAATTATATTTGCTGGAACCAGTCAATCGCCAGCGAGGCGGAGCTGCATCCATGGCGTGCGCAGGCGGGATCCATACATGGCGAGCGCGGACGGCGAAGCTGCATCCATGGCGAGCGCGGCCAGCGGAGCTGCATCCATGGCGAGCGCAGCCAGAGGAGCTACATCCATGGCGAGCGCGGATCTCCGACGAGCGCGGGCGGCGGAGCTGCATCCATGGCGACCGCTGTTCTTGGGCAAACGCAGAAGGCCGGCGAGGGCGCCCACCGGCGACGAGGGAACGCCGCGGTGGTGCTTCAAGCTCGGCCGTTTTCTCGCGGGGTATGGCGTGGTCTCGGCGGCGCTCGAGGGAGGAGACAACGTTTCTGCGAGAGGAAGAAGGGAGCTGGGCGAATCGTTTTTTACCTAGATCTGACGGTCTCCGCGATTTGATCTGACGGCCCGCGCGCGACCGGCCGAAACGTTCGGCCGGCGCACCGGCGCAGAGTGCTGCCCTAAAAAAAATGTCTTACATTTTGATAAGGAGGTTGTATTTTTACGATTAGGCAAATCAAATATCTACATTATTCCTCTCCATCCTCTCCATATGTTCCATATCTAGCGGTTGCCGTAATTAGCGTAATCGGTCAATTATGGTTAGGATAGTAATTGTGAGTACTTGTATATCTTTTGTAAGCATCTATTGCTTTTCTTAACCGGCTGCATCTATTACTATGAGATATCAATGTTAAGATATTTTTGTATATGTTGTGAGTACTTCCTTGTATATACTCAGATTGTGGGTCACCACTGTGGTTTCCATTCCCACACTTATATATTGTATAGATATAAGCCGTGCTCTTAATCAATTTCATTATCGCTACTTTGTCCATGTATTCATGATGTCTTCTCTTTCAAGTACCTACAAGTGTGAGATTAAAGGTTGACTATTGCATATCCATGTTCTAGAAACATTGAGGAACATAATTGTAAGCGTATGTTTCTTTTTCTTTCTTGCACATTTGCCTGCTTCATTGATTCATAATGGAGTACTTTTGACTCCATCGCCAGATAACAACACCAACAAATACGTGGGAGCATAAGGGACACGTGTAACCAAAGAGTACAAAGGAGCAACATAGACGCATCACAACTTCTCACCCAACTCAGAAGCGAGAAACTATGATGAGAGATATACGCGGGAAACAGTGACGTGAGATATACGTGGGAACTCAGATGCGGGAAACTATGGCGAGAGATAAAAGCGGAAAACTATGGCAGGAGATATAAGCAGGAAAGTATGGCAGAGGAAAACTCTGCTGCCGCCTGGTCCCGTAGCGGCAGATGCCATGTGTTGGCTGGCGCGACTGCCGTCACTGCCCAGGCGATCTTTTTTATCTATATGGTCCATAGGTAGTCCTTTTTGTTAATTAGATTAGCCAAGGTGGTTTTTTTTGGAAGAAAAAATGGTTGCATGCAGCTATTTGCTTTGCCAAAGCCAATAGAAACTAATTGATTTCGCAGAAATAAATTAGTGCTAAATAGTCACACTAAATCCGATTAGAGCTGCATCCCGTAGCTGACTGGCCAGTCGGCTTCGCCGAAGCAGACTGGATCCTAATCGGCTTCGATGAAGCCGATAGGATTCCAATCGGCTTCAGCGTGATGAACTGAACCCAATCGGCTTCGCTTAACGGTGTAATATTTGTCAAATTTATTAAAAAAATGTATTATTTAAAAAATTAGCTCTGTTTTGGTCAGCACGTTGGAGTTGCTATAATTGTTTCTGTCTACCAACTGCGTGAGCATGAACAATGACCTACGAAAATGAAAATGAAAATGAAAAAGAAGAGCATTTCGCGGGCCAGGTTTCAAAATTTAAAAGGAAGAAGCGAAAGATGTCTATCTCTCCTTCACGTGGCTGACCCCTCCCCACCCCCACCCATGGCTAACACATTTGAGGCAAAAGAGCTCTGCACACCCATTTCATCCGCCTGAACCACCCCCATTCTAGGAACCAAGGCTCTCCCCACCCAGAGTCACGACTTCTCCCTCCTGGCCGACGGCCTCATTCCCTTCCCCTCCACTCCTTCGGCAAGCAAGATGGGTCGCGGCGGCAAGAAGGCCAGGGTGGAGTCGCCCACCGCCGATGTCACTCTCGCTTCACGTGGCCGTCGGGCAGGTCCAGCCCCGCCTTCTTGGCGCTGTCGTCGGCCTTCTCCGGCGAACCCCTGCTCCTCCCCTCGGCGGCGGCGCCCTGCATTACGGCTGGCTGGACTTTGGGGAAAGAAAACCCCTCTGTGTGTGAGTCAAGCCAAAATCTTCAGGTGGTGGTGGGAGAAGAAAAAGCAGAGGTACAAAGGAGGTGCGAGAACAAACGCAGCTGCACTATAATAAATGCTTGCTTCCTCATTGACCACGTATTTCTTGCCACGACACACTAATATTCTTACTAGAGTAATGTTCTTCATGCCAAGGGAGCCAAAATAACTTGATATGCACATTAATATCATAATGCCCTATCCAGCTGCATGTATAAGCATTCCTCTGCATCTAGGTATAAGACTACTTGAACTGCAAAAACATCTTATATTTAGAATTTTAGATACAGAGGGAGTATACTCTATACAATACTTGGTTATTCCTTTCCATATCTAGCATTTGCCTTAATTAGCATAATCAGACCATTATAATTAGCATAGTAATTGCGAGCACTTCCTTGTCTTTCTTTTGTAGTAATCTACTATTAATACAATATGAGATTTCAAGAAATGTCACGGTTGTGTCTTCCATTCCCAAACTTATACATTACTACGGCATATCATGACAATCCATGATCTTAATCAATTTCATTATCACTAGTTTATCTATATGTTTATGTTGTCTTTCTTTTAAGTGCCTACAAATGTGTGGAAAAAAGTTTGACTATTGCAGGTCCATGTTCTTTTAGAAAGAAAAATGAGGAACATAAATGTACGTTCATGTTTTTCTTGGCAAAGTTTATTTTTAACTCCACCGCCAGATTACAATACCAGCAAACACGTGGGACCTCATAAAAAGAAAAGGATACATGTGTAAGCACAAGGGACACACGTAGTCAAATAGTACACAGGCGCGCGCACACACGTCATAACATCTCACCCAGGTCACCACACACATCCCGCCGTTCCCATTGTCATTTACCGGTGACTCAAGATGTGGTCGAAGGAGGAGACGGGGGTGGTGGTGGCATTTCTCGCTCCACGTTTGTTGTTGTTCTTTGCTAGTAGCAACCTACTCATCGGGCATGATGCCAACAACAAGGGCAACAACAATAGCAATACGGCCACAAGCCTTCGAAAGATCCTTGGAACAGGGGACACATGTTAGAGACCTCCAATGGCAAAAATGAGTAGGTTCTTGCATAGGAGGAGGAGAAATAAACCCTTGATTCGAGCAGATGCTATAAAGAACTTTTCTAGGAGATTTGTTCAACTCTCTGGAAAAATGTTTTTCTCTTAAAAACTGATGTGCATATTCCTGACATTTTTTCCCGTCGCATCCATTCTCTTTGAAGTTCAACATCTCTTATGTTAGTTCATTGACTAAGTATGCAAAAGGGAAAGAAGATAATTTGTTGGCTGGTTCTTGGCAAGAGGCAGGAGAAGGTTCTCAGCAAACATTGTAACAAAACTCTCGAGTGCCCAAGAAGAGAATGAGGCGCACCAAAAAGAAAAATGAACAACCGGATGAATAAAATGTTCAGATTGACGAAGGTAATGCACTAAAGAAATAAAAAAGGTGGCAGACATAGATAACTCAATACTGGCGAAG